TCCAAATCGAAAGGGTGCATTGCCCCCAAGCAGCACAAAAGCTTATCATTCACAAGAATTTCATTAAGAAGAGCATCATCTGACCAAATATCGCTATGCTTCCTTGTGTGCTTCCAACACCTTTGTGCGTCATAGTTGACAAGAACCCGCAACTTAAAAGTTTCGCCTCCTTCAAAACAACATAGATGACCACAACTAGTAGTGAAGTGCCCTAATAATTTGGATTTTGTATCCTTTGGGAAACGAAATTGGTTGGCATTTCTATTTGGATCATATGCAATGATTTTCTTACTTGTACTCTAAACCCAGTGTAGAATCCATTACAGGGAACAACTTCCGCCCAATGATATGGTTGAGGCAAATCCACAAAACATTTAACCTCCACTGACCAATGTCAGAAGAGAAAAATCCAATTTGAGGATGTTTGAAGAGACTCCGACCATGGGGGGATTCTCGCTATTGTGTACCTATCATCTTGCCAAATAAAGCCACCTTGCACTTTTCACTTTGCTTGAAGTACGTAGGACATAATATCTATAAATTTGTTCTCGCTATTGTGTAACTATCCTTTGCACTTTTTGTATAGAATAGTTATCACTCATGTATATACCTAATAAATTTGAAACATCCTGCCACAAAACACCAAGCTGTTGAAGGATGCTATAATTTGAACACAACAATGTTCTGCTTCATTAGGAAGGAAAGAAAATGAAAATCCTGAAGAAGATACTTCTAGGAATCCTGGAGTTAGACAATATCATTACTGAATACGTCCTCGAGTAACTAAATAAAAGGGCCCATGGCCGAGAATGAGATTAATGATAAGGATACCCTATATCAGTTCTATTTCCTACTGTGTTTAGCTCTACCTCCTCCTACTGTAACTCCTATATTTTAGCTTTACTCTCCTATATATATTTTAGCTTTACAATATTAGCCGTATGGTGAGACTCTTGTATAAATATTGCATGTACAAAATATTATTAAATATAGAGCAAACAGACCTTTTCAATTAAAGGAGTCATTGTTGATTCAGAACATATACATGAAAACAAACGAAGAGGGGATTGGAGATCAGAGAAAGCCAATGTTTAGACACAGTTTTGAACTTGCAGATTGATTTAAAGGGAAGTCTTACAAGAATTTCTACCAAAATACAATCTGGAAAATCAATACGAGGAACATAAAAATGTTTTTCAAAATCCATCAGTGTGGATTTTTCTTTTTGAAGAAAAATTATGGAGTAACAAAATAAAAAGCGTATGAGGTGAGTTACTAAAGTATCCTAATTTAAGTATGAGAAGTTGTGGCATAATCACTGCTTGCTGTATAATTAGTAAATCATTACATAGATTTCTTGTTAATTAATTATTATCGAATTGAATTGCAATATGCAGGTTCTTATACTTTCAGGAAAATGATTGGCAAGTTAAAGTAAAATCTATATGTTTTCCAGCTCAATCGTCTCTAATGTACTTTGCATATTCTACATATTAAACCTGTATAACATATATACTATGCCTTGGTGTGGAATTGGCTTTAGCAAACCGTATTTTCAACAAATGCTTCTTGAAAAAAATATATATTTGTTAATAATAATAAAATTACTTCTTGAGCATTTTTTTATTTATTTCTACTTTGTTTACCCATTTCACTGTGTTATTAAGAAATATATTTATTACACAATAATATATATATAAATTTATGGAAAAATTTCGGAAACATTAAGGGTGTGTGTGTGTGTATATATATATATATATATATGTTACGGGGGTAAAGGAGATGAAAAAATTACTCCTTTACTTGTGTTTGGGACAATTTGTAGGAGAGAAAATTTTCAATAAGGGTAACTTTTAACTCCATAAATAAGGTTAAATGCTAACCTTATAAAGGGAGGGGGTAAGGGAGTTTTAAAGGGGCCGGAAGGAAGTTTTGGTTTTTTCATTTTTTTTCCTTCCCTTTTTAAAATCAAATATTAATTTATGCTCTTTTTTTTCTCTTCCACCGCTCTTTTTCAACGACAAATATATTATTATTTACATTTATGTAATTTTATTTAGTGTATAATTTGATATGATTTATATTTGAGACCAATTTTTTTTTATATGTTTTTCTATTCCCACCAAATATTCTCAATACTTCATCCTTTCACCTTTAACTCTCAGTCTCTTAATATTTCCTTTCCATATTTTTAACCCCATATATATCAAACAATCTGAGTGTGTGTATATATAATCAAAATTAGTAGAATTAGAATAATTATCTTCATAGAAAGATGATTCATGGATCATTGATTATCACCGATATTTATTATAATGGTGCAAATTTTTATTTTTTTTCCCTCTTGAAAATAAAAATTGAAAGAGAAAAAAAAATTGACTGTTCATTTTCAAATCGAATCAAAATAAAAACCAAACTATCAAATTGAATAAACCAAAAACCGACCAAATCGAACCGATGTACAAATGATGGCGGTTCAGTTCGATTTTGCTCCCCCTGAGGCATAAAAATAATAGAGGCTTATGGGTACAAGTCGGATCTCCTTCCAAATAACCCAAGGTTCTCTCATACAGCTTCACAAACACATTGGAAAGCATCAGACCCATAAATTGAGAAAAAACGTACTTCTATTTATCCTGACAAGTGGGCCTGCGGGCCACATATCTGTACTGAAACCACTCTAACATGACAGTCAGTAGTTTATCTACTTAATTCACAATATATATATATATTATGTTTGCTTACTGTTGAAACTTTCACCTAGATCTTAACCCAAATCCATCAGCTAGCCCATGCCATAGTCCATGTTCAATGAAGACAACCTAGGAACTAGAGAGTGATGGCAAAGGAGTAGGTCTTAATATACTATATTTAAGTCCCGAACAATGTCAGTTTTTTTTTTTTCCCCGTCATTTTCCCCTTCGAGTCAAGGCCATGACAGCATTAGGACTAGTTGACAGTGTCGATTTGACATCACGTTACGGTTAATTTTCAAACCTATTCTTATGTTACAACTCATAAAATTTTGACTAAAAATAATTAATGTAAAGTTAAACATACATTCGTTTGGCAAACAATAACAAAAACAAAGAAACATTAGATTCGTTCACAAACTTTAAGGGATTAGGCTGATAATTAAGGAAATTTGTTCCCTTGGTGGGTTCAAATCTTAATTGCATTTTTTTTTAGTTCAGCAAACCAATATGAGTGATACATTTTGAGATCATTTATTGAGAAAGTTGATCTCAATTGATATGCAAACTAAGTCAAAAATAGCCTTAAAGTCAAAAAAAAAAAAAAAGAAATAGTGATAATAATAAAATTAAGTCTTCACAAATCACTAGGAGTCAATAGGCTAATCAGTTTGGCCCATGCTTCAGACCTGTCCGTTTTTTTTGGAAAGAAACGTATCTCTAGGCCATCCTAGCCCATTATCAAGTTGCACTTAACTTGATGGATGCGCAATTATTGTGATTTCCATGTTTTAACAGCTAAAAATAGCAAACAAAAATATGCGTAGCTTTCGATGCTGAGATTCAAATCCAGAATGAGATGGGGTTGAAGATTTGATGGGCAAGTGAAATATCCATGTATAATTAAAGATTTATTAAATTTCTGGAATGAATTAAAAAGACAAACAAAAATATACAATCTACCCCACCAAAATCATGTGCCATCTAATTAGTGATGCAACTATATTTTCTCCACCTTTTAAACGAGCCAACCTCCTCTCATCATGACAACTAATTTACGATCGACACCAAATTTTGGCCTGCCATGCACTCCACAATTAGCATCACACATTTTTTATTTTTTTGTCATGTTAGGCGTAGAAAGTAATTGCCTGCAAATTGAAAGGTTCATCTTCGACTTATTTCTCACATTTCTTCCTTTCGAAGTTTGGTGGGCTAAATAATTCAATCGATAAAAAAACAACTAAACAAATTTCTTGTTTGCTTTTGAAAATGCGATTTCTTCCTCGCTGTATATATAATATGATTCCAATTTTATGGGATGCCTTTGAAGGTTGGCTCGAAGCTAGCAGCTCAAAACAGACGGGGCCAAATGCCAATTGCATCTTAATTTTTTCTTAAATACAATAATATGATAATAATTTAAAATAACTCTTTCGTTGAAATGATTTTGATCCTCTTATATATGATCTTTTCATCGTTTCTACTCCAAAGTCAGTCAAATTACTACATTTTACGACTGATTAAATTTTAATTGTTTGTTTGGGAAAAATGCATGTAAAATGTAATAATATTTTGGGTGACGTGTCTAATTACTTTTTGAAAAATAGTCTTTGCGAAACAAAAAACAAAAAAAAAAACGGAGCCTTTTTTTTTTTTTTAATTGATAACTTGAAAACTGACCACTCTTCAATTATCTTCGACGGAATTATTGTATATAAGTTTCAAATTTAGATTTAGATACTTAAACTGAGAACATTCCAAATCACATATTTTTGAATTTTTCTTCTTGGCCTGTTAAATTCTAATATATTTTTTTATAAAAAAAAATCGATTAACTAATTCATAATTTAATCATCTTTGATAGACATTTAGAATTCTAAATCTCGAAATTTTAAACCTTCTATGCTCTTAAGAAGCAACTCTTCAGTCTTTGTGGTAATCATAAAAGAATATTGGAAAGTGTTGAATATAGAACCTCGTAACTATAAGATTTTAAAGTTTACTTTTGATCCGTCTTTTGTAGTTCTTCGAGACTAATTCTAAATTTTGGCTTCCTATAACTAGTTCATCGTAGGAGATTTTTGAAACCTGAAGATGTTTTCGATGAAAATCAATGTATAAATTCTTCATATGAATCCATGCATAATTGCTTGTTTGATCGAAGATTACAGAATTAAAAGGATCATTTCCATATTTACATGATTCTTCTTTACGTGCGGGTATTGTCTCCCAAACTTACATATAATCCTAATTCTATCAAGGAAGCAAGCAGCAAGTGAACAAGAACAAAACTTTTGTTTTTCCTCACACAACCGCAACTACAGTGCAATGCACATTAGGCAACATTTCTTTCAAATCCACCGTGAGCATTGACGCCTTTGGTCTCGGCAAGCGGCCGGAATATCCCATCGACATGGGAGGCATAGACGTCGACCTTTCACATGTTGTAGCAAGCCATTTTGCTTGCATGTACCTTTCCTTTCTCCATGGCCCTAAGTGCATTTTCTTTTCTTTCATGCACTTTTTTGCTGCCAAGCATACGATCTTAATTACAGACTTCAATCTTTCAACTTTTCCAACAAACACTTCTGGTAATCTGTGGACAAGTTGATTGTATTCCTGGCTTGCTTTAGCCAACTCAAACTCGGCCCGAAAATTTAATTCAATTATAACCCTCAAATCTCCTCTTATAGAACTTGAATTCTCTATCACATCCATAAAAGTGTGCTCTCCTGCATTGCGTAGAAAAACCAAAAAGACATCAATTGTTAGTTTTACCACTTCTTGCAGCCCCACTAATTATGATTAGGAACAAATTTCTTAATGAAAAATATTGATCTTAATTAATTTATTGACCTGATGTGATATCAGGAGAGCTTCTCCACTTAGTCTTGCAAACGGCACTATTATAGCTGGCATTTCGGAGACGGCTAGAGACTTCTGCCATCAAGCAACTCCGACAACCGGTGGCCATTGGTCTACCACAATCACAAATGGTTCCAGCCATTTGTATTTCTTTCAACGCTTCTTTGGTGATACTTCTAATCCTTGATTCCAAGGAGCTAGTCCTGCACAAGGTAGCCTATACACCACCCCACAACACAAAACAAAAGTTATACGAGGTTGATCATTTTGCCAGATGAAAACATAACTAACGATTGAATGAAGGCTTGTGATATTTACATGTAGAAGCTGGTGTTGTTTCTCCCAAAAACTCTTGTCCCCTTCAACAATGTCATCATTCTCTTTTTCTTCATCTTCTAAATCCATTGTTTTATTTTCATGACACTCTTCACTGCTAGAGCTCTCCGGCGACCAGTCACCATCCTCAAGAAATTTGAAAACCATATCGGATAAGCTCATCGCCGGCTGATCAAGAAACTCAAACTGATTATTGTTAGACACCAAATTCTGGGGATTAAATGGGATTCTAATTCTTGCACTAGGCATGGTATTTGTTAGATTTTGCTTTTGAACTTTATGTTACAAAAAGCTAAAATAAAAAAAGAAAGTGCTAATTGCAAATGGATGATAAAAGAGCTGGCTATATACGGAGATTGGGAGTGACGTGGGACCCTTAGGCCAACGTGGACCAACGAGCCGCCGCGCACATGTGGGTTATTTTCATGATAATTGGCAATTTTAAATTGGGTGATGTAAATCGAAAAGTTGCTGTAGATTTAATGCATCCAGGGCCAGACAGCAAGGATCCACGTCAGTTAGGTCCAATAATGTTGAACAGGCAAACCTTCTGGATATACTCGAATATTCACATATTTGTAATTTTTCATATCAATGCAATTAGTTTTGAAAGGCATTTTTTTTTCATATATGAAATGATTACAGGCTAATAGCTAGTTAGTAGCTGTCCCATCAGCTGGCATGTAAGACTATTTTTAGACTCCTAAATTTCAATGCCCAGCTCTTACACTATAATTAAAAGGAATAATTTAGAAGAAGTGTCTTTTTTTATATATCAATGAGAAGTACCTTACATGTATGGTTTAAGAGATAAAGAATGGATTTATGATTTAGGAGGTCTTAAGTACAGGCTTTCTATCCTTGGTCAACTTGAATTACCAAACAGTTTATAGTCTAACAATAATATTTTTTTTAAGAAGTTAAATCCTAATAAATTTATTCTATTAAAAGTATTGAATTTGTGTTGAATGTATGAGTTTTTTCAACAAAAAAAAACATACGGAGCTTTTGAGAATGAACCTCAGCCTCAAAAATTCATGATGTCCTCAGCCAAATGTATTGGTTTTGAATGAGGACTAGATACATTGAAATTAGAGGGTTCCATAAATACTCATGACAGAGAAAAAAAAAAAAAGGTTTCTATAAATACGTTCGAAAAATATTAATTATTATAGTGATTATTTTTTCACAGAATGGACATGTAATATTATCTTTTTTATATCGTACATAAGAAAACATTTATATAAATATATTATCTTTTGTTAAAGAGTAATGAAAAAAGGAAAAAGATAATGGTATGATTGGAACTAAAAACTTTAAGATGATTGAAACAAACCGGTTGAGTATAATATACTTAACTTTAATATGAGATTTTAGGAAAAGTTATTGGAAAGAAAAGCAAGAGGAAAAGGAGAAAAAAAGAAGATCTTCTTCTATCCTGATCTCGCTGGTGTGGGGCCAGGAGCACATAGATAAGATCCGTGTGGTGCAACGCGGTGTCATCTGAGTCGTTGATGTTGAGTTTTATCCAAATAGTGGGACCACCTTGTCGGCTACCGAACACAAATCATTTTTTCTCTTTTCCTTTCTCTGTGCATGATATAGAAAGAGAAATTGCTTCGGCGGATTTATCGCAAAATAAGGAGCATAAATCATAAATAAATTATAAAATATATTGTCACGAAAACGCGGCGTCTTGTCTATGGTTTTGCCAAATTCATTGCCACAAGGACAGATTCCTCTGAAATCTTCGTCTGCTGACGATTTGGACAAAACTGGGGGCTTTTTGGTCGTTTTACTAGTCCAATAATGTCGGAGCGGTTGAATTTAGGAATTAAATAGCAAAAAGCATATGTAGGTTAGCCCATCCTCAACCTGAGAATTTTATGTTTTTTCCGGTTACAAGAAATCCTTTATGGTTTTGAATAAGTTCTGCACTTTGTAGCCTAGCCAATCCTCAATGTGAGAATTTTATTTTATTTTTTATGATTTTGAATAAGTAGATTATTTTTCCCAGGAGGAGAATCTGTTTCCATGTGTCAAAACTAAATATATTTTTTTAAAAATTGAATAAATATTGGATAAAAAATCGAAAATCCTTTAAACCAACCGAAATGAACTGTGTAAAATATAATTATGTTCTTTTACGTTAGATTATTTTGTACTTATTTACCTTTGTTTGTACTTTTTCTAGAAAGTGATTACCCCAATGTCGATGTTGGAACTTAAAATCTATATAATGTAAAACTTCTGTCTTGAACTTCCACCGTTTAAGTCAACATCTTCTGACAAAATTTCTTACAATATTTTTAAACTCTGTGTGTGTTTCTGAGAGAGAGAGAGAGAGATTTACATGTACATATTTGATAAATTAAATGACAAATTGAATTGACATAACCCCTTTTGGGATAAGTAATAAAATTGTTGATACATGGTTATTCATCAAGTATGATTCCTGGTACAATTTTCTAAAATTGCATTTAAATCCACATATATGTATACGTAAACGCATATACATGGATAAAAAATTAAACTTTTGCAAATACTAGGATATGTGAGTGTCGTTCAGTTAATAAGAATAAAAAATCTACAATACAAATATAGAAATCAAAATAAAAATTAAAAAATTCAAATAATATTTACATTTTCATATTATATTTGAAATACTAATGAAGAATTAAAATATAATTTAATTTTTTTAATATTTAATTTTTAATATAAATAAAATTAATGATTAAAAAATAATTTTATTGACTATGTTAGTAATAAAAATAATAAAGATGATTGTGACGGTAATAATGATAATCGTAGAGTAGAAGGAGGATGGAGAGAAATTGTAGTGATAACAATAATATATTTTTAAACAATTAATACATTTACTATAGGAGGTGGCACTTGAAAAAGAAAGTGATGATGACGATGGTGATGGTATAATAAAAATAATAATAGTAGTGGTGAAAGAGGAGTAATGATAGAATAATAACAACAATAATAATAAGTTTTATCAGTATTGTCAATAGAGGTGGTAGTGGTGGTGACATAAATAATTAAAATACAATAAACTAAAATAATATATCATTACTTAAAGAAAAAATCACTCTCATTCATTTTTTTATTCCTACATTTTACATGAAAATAAAGATAGGTGTAATTTTCATTCACATTTTCAGTTCTTTGCTTCTAACTAAATAGTTTTAAGATGAAAATAAAACTTTTATTTTCATTTCTATTACTCTATTCTTGATAACAAACCAATACATTAATTTTTTGAAGAAAAAAGAGTTCATAAACTTGTCAAGGGTGCCTTTTTGGGTGGGGGAAAGTTGGTTTATTTTTTAAAAATTTTGTTTTTAAACCACCATGCAAACAAATAAAAATTAATTACTTTGAAAATGTTATTGTATATAGCCAAGTACTAATAGCATATGATGTCATTTAGTTAATAGAAATGAAAGATTTGTAATACAAATATAGAAATCAAAATAAAAATTAAAAAATTGAAATGACATTTACATTTTCATATTGTATTTGGAATATTAATTAAAGAATTAGAATAAAATTTAAATTTTTTAATATATAGTTTTTAATACAAATAAAATTAATAATTAAAAAATAATTTTATCAACTATGTTAGTAGTAAAAATAATAGAAATAATCGTAGGTAGTGGTAATAGTTAAGTAGAAGGAGGATGGAGAGAAAGTTGTAATAATAATAATAATATATTTTAAAAAAATTAATACAATTACTATAGGAGGTGGCAGTTGAAAAGGAGAGTGGTGGTGGTGGTGGTGGTATAATAAAAATAATAATGATATTGGTGGAAGAGTAGTGACGAATAATAATAACAATAATAATAATTTTTATCACCACGATCAATAGAAGTGATGGTAGTAATAAAAATAGTTAATATACAATAAATTAAAATAATATATCATTACTTGAAGTAAAAATCATTCTCATCCATTTTTTTATTTTCACATTTTATATAAAAATAAAGATACGTGTAATTTTCATTCACATTTTTAGTTCATTACTTTTAACTAAATAGTTTTAAGATGAGAATAAAACTTTTATTTTTATTTTTACTACTCCATTCATAATAACAAACTAATACCTTAATTTTTTTAAGAAAAAAGAGGTCACAAACTTGCCAAGGATGTCTTTTTTGGTGAGGGGAAGTTGGTGTAGTTTTTTAATAATTTTGTTTTTAAACCACCATGCGCACAAACAAAAATTAATTGCTTTGAAAATGTTATTGTATATAGCCAAGTACTAATAACATATATTTAAAAAAAATACCAATAACATATGATTTCAATCAGTTTATAGCTAAATTGGCATGCATGTCCTCCATTCTAAAAAATCTAGATTCGAGTCTTTTGTGTGTATGATATATATATATATACACACACGAACATCAATGTTGAATGGTGAATTATATTGTGCATCAATTTCCTTAATCTAGGAACTTCTAGAGGTGATTTTTCCTTTTACGATTGTTTCACAAGCAACACTTCAAGTTAACAAAATATTAATTAACAACCGTTAAAGACGAATATTATTGCAGCTAGGCGTCTTTTAAGTTTGGGAATCTGCCTATAGTACTAGCTGGACTGCCCTCAATATTTCTGTGTGTCATATATAATAGTAAGATAAAAAGCAGCAGTTTTGGTCAATAAATTACCAATAAACTATGAATAATTTATTTGACAAATTATGCTTTTGATGATAATTTAGATGCTCTAATCTTGCCTACTTAGCGGTCATAATTGCTTATCCTAAAACATATCTCCCCCACCAACTCCTTACTTTTCTTTAATGAAGTATTTCAACATTATGATGATACATATATGCCTGTAGTATTAGATTTGCTCTATCCATACCTACCTTGGTTGAGCTGCAAGCCTGTTACCGGGTAAAATAAACGACCATTCTTACCATCCATTCATCAAACGCAAAACACCTTCCACTCCAAGGACAAAAACCAACATTAATTGATAAGCTCCTTGACTTAATTAATTAGCAGTAATTAAACTACAAGTTGCAATTTAGTGAAGGAAACCACTTAATTTACAGTCGAGTACCCTCAGTTTCTCATATCAAATATAGCCCACATCAGTAATTTTATGTTGGGGATAACTATACCTACCAGCCATGATCGAGACGGAAGCTAGCTCGGTAGGTTACAAAATTAATGAAAATGGAAACAAAAGAGCAATCCGGATATGATCATATTAGTCCTGCATAATATAGTCCACGTAGCCTGATAGAGACATATTGTTTTGTTCTCATTTCGACAGCTTTTTATGATCATTCATACAATGCCACTTGTATGTTTCTCACCTATTTGTCTGGTTGCTCATCTTCATGTACGATATTTTCATCCAAAACTATGGATGCAGTTCTGCCGTTTGGACCTGTGCATGTTTATTCTGTTTTTTTGATGTGAATCGAACAACAAAACATCGTCGTACGTCAGTTACATATCTATAAGGAAAGCTTTCACGTACGAAGGGTAAATGGATTTGATCCTGGTATTATTAATCAGATTTAAATCTTTCAGAAAATTCAGATTTTTTTTTATATATATATAAATACGTTAATCTAAATAAGAATAATTTGTTAAAAATCCAATCGATGAGAAAAACCGAATCGATTTAGTGCTGAATCCAACCATGAACTAGTCAAGCCCAGCCTCTTCCCAGCAGTTCTTGTCAATCTTTTATCTGGTTCATCTGCCTGTGCTGTTCTTTATTTATATAAAAACCGAATCTATTTAGTGGCTCATTCCGTGGTTCTCGATTCAGCCAAAAACGTATTTAATTGGGACCAATTGAATCATTTATGATATTCTCTTCTTATTTAGTATGATAAAAAAAATCAATTACTTCTACCAAAAAAAAAAAAAATCATTTATCAACAAAGGAAAGCATATAATCAATACCGTACATATATAATGGGACTCATAGCATCTGTTATATGCTTTATGTGAAATTTAGATAAAATATCACGTTTTATACTAAATTTTGTACAACAAAATTATATATAATCGACATCTTATATTTAAAAAAAAAAATTGATTTCATAACTACTAAGATTTTGTGTGTGGTGATTTGAGTCGCGATGCGTGAGACTTTCTTTTCAAGATAATAGCTCATCTTTGACGTTGGATTTCAGTTTTTTTTTTTAATTATTATTATTATTATTAAAAGCACTCCATCATTTATGTAGAAGAGAAAATCACCTTTTTACAAAATCACAGAAGAGTTATGGATGCAATGAATGTATATAAGAAGAAGGTGAGACTCAATCATGTTTATTCTTAAATTATTTTCTTAATGTTAATTTAGTATCACTCTAATTAAATATAATATTGTACTAATTAACCAAGATATATGTCCAGAGGTAATTAAATCTTTACAAAAGTATGTGGCATTTGTTATAGAAAATTGTTTTCAAATCATGAAATTAGAATTTTATCAGATTTAGCTGTGCAGCAATAATTATAGAATGTATCAACTAATGAATCACTAATTATGTAATGTTATAGCAAAATAATTTTTGTAAAAAATTATCTTTAGCATTATCCAGATTGAGGAAGCACGGACCTAGTGCAAGCAATAAAGTTTCTGAAGATAGCCGTAAACAATATCATAATTGCTACTACAATTGATATAATTATCATCAAAATTTGATAAATCTTCTTAACGTAGATAATGAAGATGTCGTTATAAAATACCATTAAAAGATAAAATACACCTAAAAGATGAATATCTCTTCAGAGGAAAATGACATTATTTCTCTCAAAAGTCAAAAGCCATTGGAAAACTCTCAAAGAAATTGGCACTAAAAATTAAACACTGTAGTGAATTTCGACAGGTTTATCTCATGTCCCTGGCTGCTATCTAATTAGTCATGCTAATCTCTAAAATGTAAAATCTTGATATTGATCATGATGCCACCCAATTTGAATGTAAAATAGCTATCACCGAATTGATAAGGTTACAGAAAAAAAAACATGACACAAAGGAAATGACTTGATGGAAAATATTAGATTATGTTCCGATATTTAGCCCGTGCTTTCTTCGAGCTGATATATATGTATCATGATTGGTCAACAAATTAGATTTAGCTTATGCACGTGTAACCTTTCGAAATGTGCAATAACTTGAAGCCTAAGTTAATTTTTTGGGTTCGTGCTCAGCTCGTTTTGTTTCGTGTGGTCTACGTACACTCTACAAACTATTTGCCTTCTTGGCACAGAAAGGATCCATCCCTTTGCCGCCGAAGCAAACCTAGAAGATAAACTTTGGTAGGGAAATCATAAATTGACAACATTGAATTTGACCTTGATGCCTGATGAGGAAACTTTCGAAGACCTAATAATTCAAGGCTTTATATATATATATATATATCAGAATATGATATGGGGCATAAAAATTTTGTGGTGTATGAGAATCAATGCTTCTAGGAGACTAGGACAAATCGCACAATGCCGGACAAGTGGCCTGGTTCGATACAGAACGAAATTCTCTGAGTTGTACTTATCTTTGTCCACGTGACTTGTGCCCAGGAATTATTTTTGCAAGTCCAAAAAATTTCCATGTTTGCTAAACTCAATAACTGAGGCTTAGATATGTAGATAACATGCAAGTATTTAATGTAGAAGTTTCGCAATTTATCAGGATAACAGATTGCGTGTCTTGATGTCCGGTCAAATTTCGTAAGGGTCTAATTATAGTTTTTGTAGGTAAATTAACTAATGGATCATATGATCTTTTCATCTAAATTTAGTTTTAAAGGAGAGTTTTGAATTCCAAATTTGATCAAAGAATACAAGATTAATGTTAGCTGAATTATAGTTTATTGACAACTAATTTTATTTGTGTCTTTTACCTTAATTATGCACAAAAAGATAATTTGCACTATTATATATTACCACAGGGTACCATGGCATTACCAAAATGCATCATGGATTAGGGTGAATATGACACACCTTGAGTTTTCATGACGAATTTGCTAGTGGATTAGGGTGATCATGTACAAGAATGAGATCAAAAATCATGTTACACGAAATTACAGTGATGCTGATCATCATGTTACCTTTGTGATCAAATTAAGTCCAATTGAAGATTGGAGCGATCGAGAAAAAAAAAAGTTATATATATATATATATATATATATATATATATATATATATATATATATATATTCACTTGAAATATTGCACGTATGTTAAATTAATCACATTATCGATAATTACAATGACAACGAAAGGATGCCCATCTCATGAATGATGATCCAGAAAATTGAAAACATAAGATTTTGTATTACTTTTATCTGGAAGATTCATAACGAAGAAAAGGACAATTTAATTTTTCTGTTAGTTTCATTTTATATGTGGCAATGGTAGAGAACTTGTGTAAAGGAAGGGAGTTGAATTCTATCTCTTTGCTTTGCTTTGTCAAGGCGACTTGACCGTGGCCTAACTAACAAAACGTGCACAAAAAACCTCTTATATCTTCTGGTGGATTTTGTTGCCACATTGCGCCTAACTGGCTTCTGCGGAGCTTCGTGTTGTGATCTTTCTTACAGCTGTGGATAAGCTTGTCTAATAAATGTGAGTCCCTGTCCATGCGCTAGTTCTTTCACGTGGCTGCAGAATTCGGATTTCGGAGAAGATCTCGACCTCTCCAGTCTCCAGATATTTAATTGAATGAAAATAATGGACGAACGAGAGTTGGAAAAATCCATAAGTGACGTAACATATAACGAAGCTGATGCAGAGATTATCGGTATTCCAAAACTCTAAGGCAAAAAAAATACGATACATGTCAGAATATTTTTAAATAACATGATAATAATGGTTAAATATTCACAAACGGTACGAGTAGTAGTGCGTTCTAGTCGATCGAGAATTAAACTATAAAATAAAATACTCTAAAATTCAAATTTATTAATAGAAATACGAAAATCAAGAAAAGAAATAAATTAAATAGTTTTAATTCCTTAAACTGGAGCAAAATAGACAAGTTCAGAAAGTCTATATCATAAAAAAAAATCTCAAAAAAGACATTCGGAGTGAATTTTGACCTCAAAAAATGATATCCAGAAATTTTTTAATTGCCAAATTGTAGCTTTTTTAATACACTCTTTGAATTTATATGATTTGAGATACTGGACATTTGAATCAAAAATTATAATCCGTTGACTAAACAGTGCATATTTTTTCTTTTAAATTATTTTCTAAAACTTCTGTGTGCCCATCCCGTCCATAAAAACATGAGCTAGTTGTCCTATATTCATATGAGTTGTGATCAGAAAATTCTCTGCTTGTATCGCATAGAGGAAAAAGAAACAAAAAAGTAGAAAAAAGGCATTTAATTGAAGTACAACTATAAGTTTATTTATTCATGTATTTATTTGTTTTAATGGTAAATGTATCTTTATAGTAATTTTCATATTTCGAGATTAACTTCTTTAATAATCAAATTTCAAACAGGTTATTAATATTAGATTTGATGCATTCATAAAAAAGTGGAATAACATTTTTTTACAATTTCTTCTAAAATGTGAACTAAAAATAATAAAGAAGAAAACATATCCATTTAATTACTGACCAAACTTAACTTTGAAAAATCAATAATTTCACGTCGTATATGCAATGATCAATGAGTTTTACATTTTACCTTTGTGGAGTTCACTTTCAAGCTTTTCTTTCCAATAAAGTTCAACTATGTTATAATTTGATTTGATTGATAGAAGGTTGAGATTCGATCGTAATCTGATCTGCTCTGATTGTCGAATAAAAATAATATTTTACTCTGTGATTTTCCAACGTATATATCTGTTCTCTGTTCCCTCTAAGATGTCCTATCATCTATTGTGAACTCTCTAATCTGGAAAAACAAAAAATGTGCAAACTGGGTAAAAGCAAGACTTGGAGAGAAAGAGATGAGCAAGAAAGCCAAGGCGACATTAACAGGATTACTTCTGTGCCGGTGGTTAGCTATTACGTTCTAGTTCTCTTTTCCGAAGTTAATTGTTCTTCTCCAGGTATTCATAATTGTTGCATGCAGGTAGTTTAAAGAATTGTGCAGATCATCTTCCAATGAATTAACAACAGAGAAAGAAAAAAGGTCGCATGTCACAATTTACTTCAAACACATACGCAGTCCGAGTCTCGCAGAGACTAGGGAGAGGAGGATGGTAAGGACTAAACTGCTAAATATCTTCTTTCAATTAATACTTAATACAATCCAACTAGATTGTCTACCCGCACTACATTCTGTATCAAAAAAATATATATGATTATTTTTAAGAAATTATTTCATTTAATGTCTCATATCATATTACACATCTACAAAAATACATCAAATCAAAAATGAATAAAAAGTCATTTAATTTTATAATTAAAATTTTATATTTGACTTATTGTTCTTTATATTTTTTATAAATTTTTTTTTAAAAAAATTAAAATATAATGTAATGAAAGCTTTCATAATAAATGTTTTAAAAATATTTAAAAACTATAAAAATACCACTATATAGTAAAAGGAATGATGCATATAAGTCTGTATAAATAGTATAATAAATCTGAAATAAATAGTATTTCAAACGTTGAATGAATAATAAATATTGTTTTACTTTAGTTGTATCAATAATGTTTGCTTAAATTGTATGGGCCAGCCTGGAAATGTTGTTTAATTAGAGGTTAATCTGGGCTTAGATCTTTGTGTAACACTAATAGTGAGCATTTCAAACCCATGATAAAGAGAACAACAAAGGGACATGGACAAAATCTGAAGTCAAAAACATTATGGGCTATAAGAGACCCACAAGAGCCCATCTACTACTTTTAAGGTAAAGCAAAAACAACAATATGAAAAAAGAGCATGCACCAGCCGGGAATCGAACCCGGGTCTGTACCGTGGCAGGGTACTATTCTACCACTAGACCACTGGTGCTTGTTGGAAAAATGCGATATTAAAAGTAGTTATTCTTTGAAAAAGATTCGGAACCGAAATCTTTCGGTCAACGACAGAAACTATTAAGACAAGGTTTAACTTTCCATCTCGCTGAAAGGCCATATTCCTACCAAACCACTCACCTAATAACAACCGTTCCTTGCATGCCTAGTAAAATGTGACAAAATCATGGGTAATAATCATCATATTAGAGCATCATTTACTTCCACATATATGGATGGTCGGCTCAAACTATGCAATTGGAATAGGACATAATAATTCTTGCCATGATGATTAGTGAAGTTTAAAATTTTAACATCAACAACTCCACTCCAATTTCTTTAACTTTAAGATCATGCAAAGACAAAGGTTACAAATTAGCAAAATGTAATTGAAATGTGAAAGTATCCCAAACTCATCTTTTAATTAGCCCCGTGGATTTGCCGTATTTTTGTACACCAATATAGTAATTATTCCTTGTAAAAAAACAAGAAAACTTTCTCCTCTACAATGTCCCACTCAAACAAACATGAATCAAAAAATAAAAAATAGACAGTGCAGATCAAAGTCAAAGCTCCCCATCCCACTGTTTCATTTTATATGCTCTTGAATCTGGATTCTGCCAACTTCTGGCGCAGCTTCTTCCACGCTTGCCTCGGAAAATCTGGCAAATTTTTTTAGTTCATTAACATTGCCACAAAACCAACAAATACCATTAGCCATCAACTGATGCAAGATTGCAGATTCACCTACCCTCCACTATACTATTGGTCCAAGATAGAGACATGGAAGATGACTGGTATCGTCTGATTTCGTCAAAAGTTGGATGTGATCCATAGCTAGAACTCTGAGAATAATTCGACCACAAATCCTTAGACTTCATCTGTTTGAGCAAATATGCATCAATATCCTCACTTTCAATCTCATTAGGCTCATTCTTGCCCTCCAAAACCTTCACTACCTGCCTCATTGTCGGCCGGACTTTGGGGTCAGGATATGCGCACAATAAGCCTGAATTAAGTACTCTTTCTACTTCTTCTTCGTCGAATTGATCTCCTCTAGCCTTCAATCGCTCATCCAAGGCATCAAGCAATTTCCCGTCCATCATCAATTGCCATAAAGAATCTACTAAAGGCGGATGCCCTTCTTCTATAGGCCTCCTTCCACACATGACCTCCAAAATCAAGACCCCAAAACCAAACACATCAGTTTGAGCTGAGGCTCTTCCAGTACGAACCACCTCAGGTGCCATGTATCCTACTGTTCCAACCACCCGAGTCGTTCTAGGCACTTGACCGTGCCCGTGCACTCGAGCCAATCCAAAATCACCTAACCTTCCGTTCATATCCTTATCAAGTAACACATTGCTGGCCTTAATGTCCCTGTGTAGAACTCTAGACTCCCATCCCTCGTGCAAATACAATAATGCAGAAGCCACATCTTTCAAAATCCTTATTCTTTCTTCGCAACTCAACATATTGCTCTCATCGCAATCAAACACCCTCTTCTCCAAACTCCCATTTTCCATATAATCATATACCAACATGAAGACTCCTTTTTCTCTCTTACACCAACCTCTCAACCCCACCAACCTCCTATGCTTCAACCTTCCAAGACTAGAAATTTCAGCTAAAAACTCCCTCATCCCATCATTTTCATGTGAAATGCGCTTCACTGCAACTTCTGTCCCTCCTGGTAACACACCCTTATAGACCTTTCCGTTTCCTCCGATTCCAATGACATTTTCTTCGCTGAATCCTTTTGTTGCGGCCTCAATTTCTTGATACGTAATTCGGTGTGGCCAATACTCCAATTCCCAATCCTCCATTTCCGCTCTTTCCCTTGCTTTCCTTTGTCTTCTCTTAATCAAAAACCAAATGATTGTAGCAGCAGAAACTACAATAAGGACCCCTCCCACTGTGACTCCCGCAATGAACCCTTTGGACCAGAAAAATGGATCTTTTGGAAGCACAAACGATGGCAACCCAGTAGTGATTAACCTTTCACTTAAAGAAAAATTGGAATTACTAAAACTCCAAGCCAAAATCTTGTGACTTTGAACAAGTTGTCCCGTTGAAGCAGTGAAACCCACATACATCTCATCCTCAAAAACATCAGATAGATTAAGAAAAGCATTCAACAAAGGCCTGCCAGGCCTTTTCATTCCGGCCAGAGCCATAGTAACATTAATAAAAGAATCAGCATAGTCAATCCAAACTTGGTAGTTTTTACCATTATTTAGCTTCAGTTCCTTAAAAGACTTCATGTCGTCACCACTGCTGTTTCCATTGCTGCTGCTGCTCCCTGAATTATCAGGCCAATAGCCTGCATCTTCTGCTGCAATTGATGTGAGTGAATTCACATCTATTCCAACATGATTATCATTCAAATCATTGAATTCTTGATTTGCGAACACATCAAACTCGATGCCAAACATATGATTATTTGGACTACCATCATTTGTACGATTAAGAAAGCCTAAATTTTGAGCTGAGTTAGCACCTTTTGTGCCTGTAAAGGGCACAAAAAGAAACACCAAGCCATGCCCAGGAAGAACATTCTTGTAAGGAGCCATAGCGAAAATAAACGAAGTGGAAAACGGATATACATAAGAAGAATTTGGAGCTTTGGTTGGTATCTTTGTTGGGTACAAAGCACGGCCAATTTTG